AGGCGTGGATTTTTTAAAGAAAATTTTTTCAAGGTTCCCATTAGGCGTGGATTTTTTAAAGAAAATTTTTTCAAGGTTCACATTAGGCGTGGATTTTTTAAAGAAAATTTTTTCAAGGTTCCCATTAGGCGTGGATTTTTTAAAGAAAAATTTTTCAAGGTTCCCATTAGGCGTGGATTTTTTAAAGAACATTTTTTTCAAGGTTCCCATTAGGCGTGGATTTTTTAAAGAAAATTTTTTCAAGGTTCCCATTAGGCGTGGATTTTTTAAAGAAAATTTTTTCAAGGTTCCCATTAGGCGTGGATTTTTTAAAGAAAATTTTTTCAAGGTTCCCATTAGGCGTGGATTTTTTAAAGGATACTTGTTCTTTGTTCTTGTATTTTTTCAAAGGTGTCCTAAGGCGTGGATATTTTAAAAAATATTTTTTCATAGGTGTCCTAAGGTGTGGATCTTTTAAAGAATATTTTTTCAAAGGTGTCCTAAGGCGTGGATATTTTAAAAAATATTTTTTCATAGGTGTCCTAAGGAGTGGATCTTTTAAAGAATATTTTTTCAAAGGTGTCCTAAGGCGTGGATTTTTGAAAGAATTTTTGTTCAATGCTGTCCTAAGGCGTGGATTTTTAAGAATATTGTTTTTTGGGGCGTATGAGTTATACAATTTCATATTGGATCGCAAATCATACGCCTCCTCAAGGGTTTTTTCACCTCTTTAATTTACAACCACTTTATTTAAATTTATTTACTAATGTTGATTTATTGCAAGCAAATTCCAAACGAAAACCTGACACAATTTTCGTGCTTAGCAACAAAAATAATCCTTCAATTTCTCATGTATTTCTTAAAAGCACCTTAAAATAAAAATCCACTTCGCAACAGTCCTTTTTTAATTCATTCAAAAAATGCTACAAATTTTTTAATGCTTTTCCGTTGGCCCATAAACTAGTGACAATAGCAATATTGGCCTTTTAAATAAAAGCAAACGAGCACTGAGTTGAGAACCCCCCCCTATTGGGAAATAATGAAGAATAAATTCAATTCGTTTTTTGTTTCCAAAAAGAAATGAAGAGTGTAATTTCGCCACAATGCCCAAGCCTCTTAATGAAGGAAACCCCCAAACCATAAACAATCATCCCCACAACAGCACTTAATTAATTAATACCTAATGTTTCTATTGCACCCAACCGCAGAAGCCAATATCCTCACAATTCACATTTGTTTTTTTTTTTTTTTTTGGTTTGTGTCATTGTAATTGAATTGAATTTAATCATTGACCAGAGTTTGAGACATTTTAAGCAGTTTGGTTTGAAGATAGATAAATACACCATTTCCATAGGGAGAGAAGAAAAATTTAGAATTTGGTCCATGAAAAATTAATTTTTAAAAAATCCAATCCTTATGGGAGCCTTGTAAATATATTCTTTAAGACATACAATCCTTATGAGAGCCTTGAAAAAATATTCTTTAAAAAATCCACGCCTTATGACAGCCTTGAATTATTCTTTAAAAACCACGGCTTATGGGAGACTTTAAATATATTTTAAAAACCACGGCTTTAAAAATATTCTTTAAAATCCACGCCTATTGAGCCTTAAGAAATTTCTTTAAAATCCACGCCTATGGGAGACTTTAAAAATATTCCTTAAAAACCACGCCTATGGGAGACTTTAAAAATATTCTTTAAAATCCACGCCTATTGGTCTTAAGAAATTTCTTTATAAAATCCACGTCTATTGATCTTAAACAATTTCTTTATAAAATCCACGCCTATTGGTCTTAAGAAGAAATTTCTTTATAAAATCCACGCCTATTGGTCTTAAAAAATTTCTTTATAAAATCCACGCCTATTGGTCTTAAGAAATTTCTTTATAAAATCCACGCCTATTGGTCTTAAGAAATTTCTTTATAAAATCCACGCCTATTGGACTTAAGAAATTTCTTTATAAAATCCACGCCTATTGGTCTTAAGAAATTTCTTTAAAATCCACGCCTATTGAGTCTTAAGAAATTTCTTTAAAAACCACGGCTTATGGGAGACTTTAAAAATATTCTTTAAAATCCACGGCTTATGGGAGCCTTTAAAAATATTTTTTAAAAATCCACGGCTTATGGGAGCTTTTAAAAATATTCTTTAAAAATCCACGGCTTATGGGAGCTTTTAAAAATATTCTTTAAAAATCCACACCTTAGTAGAGCCTTGAAAAAATATTCTTTAAAAAATCCACGGCTTATGGGAGCGTTTAAAAATCCACACCTTAGTAGAGCCTTGAAAAAATATTCTTTAAAAAATCCACGGCTTATGGGAGCGTTTAAAAATCCACACCTTAGTAGAGCCTTGAAAAAATATTCTTTAAAAAATCCACGGCTTATGGGAGCGTTTAAAAATCCACACCTTAGTAGAGCCTTGAAAAAATATTCTTTAAAAAATCCACGCCTTAGGACAGCCTTGAAAAACTATTCTTTAAAAAATCCATGCCTTAGGACAGCCTTGAAAGACTATTCTTTAAAAAATCCACGCCTTAGGACAGCCTTGAAAAACTATTCTTTAAAAAATCCACGCCTTAGGACAGCCTTGAAAAACTATTCTTTAAAAAATCCACGCCTTAGGACAGCCTTGAAAAACTATTCTTTACAAAATCCACGCCTTATTCTTTAAAAAATCATTGCCTTAGAACAGCCTTGATAAAATATTCTTTAAAAAATCCACGCCTTAGGACAGCCTTGATAAAATATTCTTTAAAAAATCCTTGCCTTAGAACAGCCTTGATAAAATAATCTTTAAAAAATCCACGCCTTAGGACAGCCTTGAACAAATAATCTTTAAAAAATCCACGCCTTAGGACAGCTTTGAACAAATATTCTTTAAAAAATCCACGCCTTACGACAGCCTTGAAAAACTACCCTTTAAAAAAATCCACGCCTTAGGACAGCCTTGACAAAATATTCTTTAAAAAATCCCCGCCATGTTTTAGTCCTTGAAAAAAAAAATATTCTTTGAAAATGGTGTATTTTGCTTTGAAGGAAAAAGGTTTTGGGTTCTCCCCCTTTAAGAGATACATAGGTATGATAGCTGCCCTGTAGAGTGGCTTACAATTAAGATGACTATCCAACCACAAATGTAACAATTTGTTGGATACCAGCAGCAATTCAACTCCTCAATCACCTCCGCTCTCCCCCAAAAAACACCCCAAAATCGATGTCACAGGACACGAGTAGTCTATTTAAGAAGTATTTTATTAAGTGTCCTTCGTCATGGTAGTGGCGGATCTTTATGTCTTATCATGCTGTTGTTGGCCTATTAATGCTAATCTTTAATTTAGAAACAATTGTATGTGTGTGTGTGTGTGTGTGTGTGTGTGCGTATGGAACGGATGAGTAAATGTGCCACTCTATGTATATGTGTGCGTGTGTTCGTACCACCAACACAATGACAAAATAAATGATACCATGAAAATCTCTTTTCATAGCCATAAATTACCACCACAAAAGGGGGGAGACAAAACCCGGGAATTTTTGTCCCATTTGGAATATCCTTTTGTTGGGTGCTGCTGTTGTCTCTCGGGGGAACATTCAAACGGCCATTGAACTCCAAAAAATAGTCAAGAAGAAGTGCTTGTTTGTTACTCTATTTCATTATCATTAGAAATTGTTATTCATTTCGTTCGGGTTTTTATTTCTTAATTCAAATGGATGGGGTTCTGGCCAAATGGAATCGGAGACATTACAAAACAATTTGTTTTGTTTAGTTGGAATTAAAACATACCTGCACACACTTTCACTCTGTGTTTTGGTATATGGCGGCGTGACATGCCATTTTGTAAGTCTCATTGGATTTTATGGATTTCGTTTTTATTTTATTGGCGGAAAATATTAATAATATTAAGGGAACAAATATGCAGGGTGTAAATGTTAGAGGAGTGGATAATTAAAAGAATACTTTTTCAAGGACCAAAACAAGGCATGGATTTTTGAAGGCCAAACAAGGCGTGGTTTTTTAAAGAATACTATTTCAAAGATCAAAAGAAGACATGGATATTTAAAGAATAGTTTTTCAAGGACCAAAACAAGGCGTGGATTTGTAAAGAATACTTGTTCAAGGACGAAAACAAGGCGTGGATTTGTAAAAAATACTTTTTCAAGGACCAAAACAAGGCGTGGATCTTTAAAGAATACTTTTTCGAGGACCAAAACAAGGCATGGATTTTTAAAGAATACTTTTTCGAGGACCAAAACAAGGCATGGATTTTTAAAGAATACTTTTTCGAGGACCAAAACAAGGCATGGATTTTTAAAGAATACTTTTTCGAGGACCAAAACAAGGCATGGATTTTTAAAGAATACGTTACAAGACTTTTTGGTGGATACATTTAAGGACATGTTTTTTTATAAAGAAATTTTTATATATTTAAATTTTTGGGTTTTTATTACTTTGAGTACTATTATAAATATTCCTAATTATAATAAATATGCATTTTTAATATATAAAGAATTATTTGTAGCTATATATTACTTGTTTAGAATAATTAATTAGATAAATAAAAGTGTATTTACTATATTAAATTACTAAATTATATGTACGCTTAATAATCTCTGAACTAAAAAAAGAATTTAAAAAAACAAGCTATACATTTCAACACATATAATAAAAAGCGAAATATAAAACAAAACATAAACATAAACAGAGAAATATTGCTTGGAATTTATCAAATGATATTTAGTCCCGATTTACATTAGACAAATTTTAATTGCCTCAATTCTGTCGTTGGAGGAGAGACAGTTGAGAGGAAATATCAACCACTCACCTGTCTCGCCCACAACCCGATAACAGCTGCAAGTGAAATTGCCTTATGAAATGTTGGTATTAATTTTTTTCTTTCTTGTATTCAAAAATTCCTACATTAAATCCTCCCCATCATCTCATCTATATTTATGACTACATCTACTGTGCAATGATAGGCGTTTGGCTCCATTCTCGATTTGATTTGTGTGTGTTGTTTTTTCTACTATTTTTTACGAATTGACTTTAAATGTTGTTGTAATTGTTCACAGCGTTGACATTCGATTGTTAATTGTTTGACAGCGGCAGCATATTGACGTTGCAGCTCTAGCAGTGCCTGCAACTCTTCATTTAATGCATCGCGTCGTTTTTTCTCATCGAGATATTTTAATTTCACCTTTTGTTCTGTTTGCCGTACACCCTGTACAATTTGTTCGAATTTCTGGATGAATTCTTCACGCCCATGCTGTGTGGACATGCCCTCATTGTAGGCTTCACATATTGAATTCAGCAGTGACAGTTCCTTTTCCATATAACGTTTCTGGTCATTCAGAGTATTGAAGAGAGTATAATATTGTTTGGTTTCTAAATATTTGGAACTCACTGGAAGGAAAAGAGGAAATTGATGGGGAAAATAAAATGTTTAGGCAAACATTGTAGGTTATAGCTGACTTACTTTCATTGTACAATTCATGAAAACGTCGCTGATATTGTGCCAATTCTGTGCGATCGGGTGTATTATCCAATTGTTGTTGTATTGCCAAAATACCCCGATTACGTTTAGCCAGCTGTAATTTTAACAATTGTATACGTTCCTTTTCTTTGGCCACCGCTTGTTCCCGCTCATGGGGATCTTGGGCATTGAAGGCTTCCAATTCCCTTTATTTTTTTTTTATTAAAATATTTATTTATTTAAATTATTTTATAAAATTTAAATATACATACTCAATTTGTTCTTGCAGGGCAGCCAGATCTTTTCGACAGTGTTCCTTAAACTCTGATTCTTCCTTTTTCAGCTCGTCGTGTTGTTTCAGAAGACTTTGGACTTTTTCTAATAACCTGCAAAATTTAGATACGAAATATGTGGATTTTTAAAGAATATTTTTTCAAGGCTTGGATTTTTAAAGAATATTTTTTCAAGGCGTGGATTTTTAAAGAATATTTTTTCAAGGCTCTGTGCAAGGCGTGGATTTTTAAAGAATATTTTTTCAAGGCTCTGTGCAAGGCGTGGATTTTTAAAGAATATTTTTTCAAGGCTCTGTGCAAGGCGTGGATTTTTAAAGAATATTTTTTCGTGGATTTTTAAAGAATATTTTTTAAGGCTGTGCAAGGCGTGGATTTTTAAAGAATATTTTTTCAAGGCTCTGTGCAAGGCGTGGATTTTTAAAGAATATTTTTTCAAGGCTCTGTGCAAGGCGTGGATTTTTAAAGAATATTTTTTCAAGGCTCTGTGCAAGGCGTGGATTTTTAAAGAATATTTTTTCAAGGCTCTGTGCAAGGCGTGGATTTTTAAAGAATATTTTTTCAAGGCTCTGTGCAAGGCGTGGATTTTTAAAGAATATTTTTTCAAGGCTCTGTGCAAGGCGTGGATTTTTAAAGAATATTTTTTCAAGGCTCTGTGCAAGGCGTGGATTTTTAAAGAATATTTTTTCAAGGCTCTGTGCAAGGCGTGGATTTTTAAAGAATATTTTTTCAAGGCGTGGATTTTTAAAGAATATTTTTTCAAGGCTTGGATTTTTAAAGAATATTTTTTCAAGGCTTGGATTTTTAAAGAATATTTTTTCAAGGCGTGAATTTTTATTTTTTCAAGGCTCTGTGCAAGGCAAAAAATATTTTTTCAAGGCTCTGTGCAAGGCGTGGATTTTTAAAGAATATTTTTTCAAGGCTCGCAAGGCGTGGATTTTTAAAGAATATTTTTTCAAGGCTCTGTGCAAGGCGTGATTTTTGAATATTTTTTCAAGGCGTGGATTTTTAAAGAATATTTTTTTTTCAAGGCTCTGTGCAAGGCGTGGATTTTTAAAGAATATTTTTTCAAGGCTCTGTGCAAGGCGTGGATTTTTAAAGAATATTTTTTCAAGGCTCTGTGCAAGGCGTGGATTTTTAAAGAATATTTTTTCAAGGCTCTGTGCAAGGCGTGGATTTTTAAAGAATATTTTTTCAAGGCTCTGTGCAAGGCGTGGATTTTTAAAGAATATTTTTTCAAGGCTCTGTGCAAGGCGTGGATTTTTAAAGAATATTTTTTCAAGGCTCTGTGCAAGGCGTGGATTTTTAAAGAATATTTTTTCAAGGCTCTGTGCAAGGCGTGGATTTTTAAAGAATATTTTTTCAAGGCTCTGTGCAAGGCGTGGATTTTTAAAGAATATTTTTTCAAGGCTCTGTGCAAGGCGTGGATTTTTAAAGAATATTTTTTCAAGGCTCTGTGCAAGGCGTGGATTTTTAAAGAATATTTTTTCAAGGCTCTGTGCAAGGCGTGGATTTTTAAAGAATATTTTTTCAAGGCTCTGTGCAAGGCGTGGATTTTTAAAGAATATTTTTTCAAGGCTCTGTGCAAGGCGTGGATTTTTAAAGAATATTTTTTCAAGGCTCTGTGCAAGGCGTGGATTTTTAAAGAATATTTTTTCAAGGCTCTGTGCAAGGCGTGGATTTTTAAAGAATATTTTTTCAAGGCTCTGTGCAAGGCGTGGATTTTTAAAGAATATTTTTTCAAGGCTCTGTGCAAGGCGTGGATTTTTAAAGAATATTTTTTCAAGGCTCTGTGCAAGGCGTGGATTTTTAAAGAATATTTTTTCAAGGCTCTGTGCAAGGCGTGGATTTTTAAAGAATATTTTTTCAAGGCTCTGTGCAAGGCGTGGATTTTTAAAGAATATTTTTTCAAGGCTCTGTGCAAGGCGTGGATTTTTAAAGAATATTTTTTCAATGCTCTGTGCAAGGCGTGAATTTTTAAAGAATATTTTTTCAAGGCTCTGTGCAAGGCGTGGATTTTTAAAGAATATTTTTTCAAGGCTCTGTGCAAGGCGTGGATTTTTAAAGAATATTTTTTCAAGGCTCTGTGCAAGGCGTGGATTTTTAAAGAATATTTTTTCAAGGCTCTGTGCAAGGCGTGGATTTTTAAAGAATATTTTTTCAAGGCTCTGTGCAAGGCGTGGATTTTTAAAGAATATTTTTTCAAGGCTCTGTGCAAGGCGTGGATTTTTAAAGAATATTTTTTCAAGGCTCTGTGCAAGGCGTGGATTTTTAAAGAATATTTTTTCAAGGCTCTGTGCAAGGCGTGGATTTTTAAAGAATATTTTTTCAAGGCTCTGTGCAAGGCGTGGATTTTTAAAGAATATTTTTTCAAGGCTCTGTGCAAGGCGTGGATTTTTAAAGAATATTTTTTCAAGGCTCTGTGCAAGGCTTGGATTTTTAAAGAATATTTTTTCAAGGCTCTGTGCAAGGCGTGGATTTTTAAAGAATATTTTTTCAAGGCGCTGTGCAAGGCGTGGATTTTTAAAAAATATTTTTTCAAGGCGCTGTGCAAGGCGTGGATTTTTAAAAAATATTTTTTCAAAAGGACCAATACCAGAATATTTTTTTTCTTTGTTTCTTACCCCACATCCACTGTCTGTTCAATTTTCTTATATGCCTCTATTTGCGCTTCCATTTCCTCTTTTTGTGTTCTCTCTTTATCCAGCAATTCACATTCGCGCTGCAACAATTCCATAACATCTTTCACATCCTTTTGGTTACGCTCCAGTTTTTGTTGTAAGGCCATTTGTGTTGTTTCCAATGATTTAATTTGATTTTGCTCAGTCAATTCCTTAGCATCCGTTTCCATTTCATGTTTAAATTCTTTGTAATGTTTTCGCAGTGCATATCGTGTGGCATTGTCAATTTTTTGAGGTGATCCTGCTGTGTTATCCTGTGACGATAATTAAATAGATTATTAGAAACAATGAAGAAATGTGGTGCTGGAGATAATAAATTGACACACAAAAAACAAAAATGGACAATTTACCTCTTTTGTGAGTACTAAATTGTTAAGTAACTTTTCAATATCAAGCTGCTGCAAAGCAAAACAAATATTAGTGTTGATAAATAAATTAAAAAAGGGAATTATGTACATAAAAGGAAATCAATCATATATATATATAAATAAAAATAAATACAAACAAAATATAAGCACAAGCTTTACAACATGACTAGAATCAACATGCCACAGTATACCTCATTAGTCGCAGCATTTTCTCCTTGACTATCCGCTCTAGGCACTGACACTGGCAGGTTACCATATTCCAATAGAGTCAATTGTACTTTTGTTCTTTCATCTTCCTCGGTAGCCTCTTTACGTTGGTATTGGCGGACGGGATTATAGATTTCCTAAAGGACAAAAAAACATGGAAATATTAAAAATTTTTTCCCTCATTATAACTCCTATTCAGGCCCTCCTTACTTGTATTCTTTTAATGTGCACTGAGGCCTTGCGTATTTTTTCCAAATTTTGTTTATCACTTTTATACTGATAATGATTGTGAAATTGACCAATTGCGAATTGTTTTAGGCGCATATTACGTTCCGCTCGATTTTCAACCTGTAGAAAAATAGGTCTGTTTTTTAGAAGATTTCTGTAGTATTGAAAATTTAGCTAACATACCGATTTCTTAACCAACCATTGTATAACTGGATGTATACTAAGAAATTCTAAACCTTGTATTTGATGAGGTTCTATGCGAAAAGGACACTTCATTTGAGGCAAAACGGCAACGATTTTTTCCACCAGGGAACTACAATAAAGAAAATTAATTTTAGATATAATGGGAAGATTCTAAGAACGAATCTGTCTGTAATCCGGTATTTGGGGTTCTTATTGAGCAGCATATACACCTACAGAAACGGCCCGAGTCTCACTCGGCCAAAGTCTGTCACATCAGGCCATTGTGTAAAAGCATTAGGACTACTACAACAATCACAACATCAAATTTTCTATATCTGCCCCCATTTAGATATAGCCCACATATATAATTACGTACGATTTTCATTATTTTATGGATTTTGAGGTGCAAAGAAATAAAAAGTTCGGCCCGGTCCCGAACTTGAGCCTATTTGGCTCATACCTTTCAATATTATCCCAGACCGTCTCGACCCATACATAACTTCAGTCCCCCACCTCATCGTCCTTACATTTTTTGTCCAATTGTTAAATTCTCATGGAACAGCAGATCCACATCGACATCATAATCACAGCATTCGATGCACCATGTCATGCCACCCACAACCTTATCAAATGCCGACAAACCCTTTATGCAGGCCCGATAATAACCGGCATTTATTAACAAATCAAAGGTTTCCTTTTCCTTGGCAGTGGCATCGGAATCCTCACGGCGTTCCACCTAAAACCAAATTGGAAAAAAAACCCATTTTTATCAAGAAAAACAAATCTATCTTTTATTACTCACCTGCACTTCACGCCCCTCAGCATCTAGCCGGGTAGCTAATTTGACATTTGATTTGATGTGTTTGGAAAATATTTCCTTATTGGCCATTGTGTGCTGGGAATCTCTTGGATTATTAAGTAGGTTTTGGGGATTTCCGAATAGATTATCAGCAGCACACTAAACAAAAAACACATCACCCTGCCTCAAGATGAAAAAGTACAATCTATAAAGATTTGACGGCGTTGTGGTACAGTCAAAACGTAACACCGACCGAATAGGGGAATCAAAACAAATCGACCGATTAGGCAATATTTTTGTTTTGTTTTTCTATCAGCTGTTGTGTTATCGATGACGTGCGAAAACAGGGTTCACAGTACTGAAATATGGTCTGTTCCCGTACTGCAAGAATCTACTACTTTTTAATACGATAACGAAATTTCCTTTATGTTATCTAAGAAAATTGTAAAATCTAGTAAATTCTTGTAGTATGGGAACAGACCAATAGTAAATTTAAAATGGTACGGACGATGAAAACTCGATGCAAGACTGTAGGCAAGATCTATTAATAAGGTCACCAAGATAGCAATCGAAATCGGAAAACAGCTGTTTTTTCTCAAGTCTAATGTCAAAAATTTCGACTTTGTTTACGTTTTCATAATGGAAGTCAATTCACAATAATGCATTTTGACAGCAAACTTGAGTGGCTGATGATATCCTGCTGGTCTCCCTTGGTGACCTTATTTATAGGCCATGACTGTAGGTGACACACAATCGATAATGTCAGTAAATACAAATATATCGATAACATCAACTACTTGCTAATCAGCTGTTTTTTGTTGACACATGTGTATTTGTTGTTGCCGGGCATATTGGAATAATGGGGATATATAAGTTGTCTTTAGAATAATCGACTTTAGCCTTTTCATGGTAGATTTAGTAAGGTAGAGGCATTAGAACAGTTGTTGTGGTTGTTATAACAGTCCTACTTTTCCCGCACTGCAAGAATCTACTAATTTTATATGTTTTCGAAATCATAAAGGAAAAAATGTTGTAATAAGCAGAGTTCATAATTCAGGGTTTCAAACTTGGCTGTAGGGTAGTTCCTTTGACGTCTGGTCTAAGGAATGGGACGACCCTGCCAATATTTAAAACATCGGAAACTATCTATGAACAAATTGAGGACATTAGTCAGGTACCCTACTTTCATCAGGACCAAAAAACCTTGAAAGATTTGACCTATCTGATGACACCTGCAACAGCCTTGAACGGCCTGGAGAGGTCGTCACTTTTTACACTGATGCTCACCGACTAATAAATTTAAGGATGAAACACATAAGATGACTTTCAGGCTTGGCATGCTAAGTTGGCTTCTTTTATTATAAAAGAATAAAGAAGAAGGCGACCAAATTCAAATATGACTCTGATATTCCTTTATAAATTCACAATTCATACGAAGCCAACTTAACAGAGCAGGCCTGAATACTCGTATGTGTTTCCCCCTTTTCTTCCAGGGTCAGATATAAAATTTGATATTTATTGGGGAATTCTTCCCGCAATGCCTTTCTGTAATCCGAATATCAGAAGTATTGGCTTTTCGACAATTGTTGAAAGTTGGAACTTTCACAATGAGGTGGGGATTCAAAATAGCTAAAATCGATAGAGACCCTCATATGGAAGCTATGACATGATAAATTTCTTCGAGAAGAAAACGAAATTGGAAGACGGCGCTAGACGATTTTATATGATTCTATATGAGGTCTATTCCAATAGCAATTGAATAGCAATTTTTGGTCTGTTCCCTTACTGCAAGAATCTACTAGTTTTTACTATTTTTGTCGATATCATGAAGGAAAATTTGTTATCGTAGTAAAAAGTAGTAGAATCTTGCAGTACGGGAACAGACCATTTTTTTTGCAAAATTTCAAAACTCTATCTGTAAAATCAGCACCTATAAATTTACCCTACCCTAGGATAGATATAAAAATTGAGGTGTTGCCTTTAACCTTAACATTTCCCTAATTGTAAAAATCCGCCCCTATGTCTGTAAAAACCGCACCTATAAATTTCTCCTACCCTAGCTTAGATATAAAAATTGAGGTGTTGCCTTGATACTTAACATTCAAGCAACTACTACTACCAAAAATGACAACACTGTCGTCTTTTCTGTTGAATTTGACATTTAACAATTTAACCGGCATTGTTGTTGTTTCTTCTCATCGAAAGCGTCTTCACGTGCGGCAGTTCTCAGATTTTTGCATTTTTCTTATTTTGCAAAATCGAATACAAAATATTAAATAATTACATCTATTGTTTATATCTATCTGCCGAATAAAGCCAGGACAACATCGGCAAAATGCCTTACATTTGTTTACTACAAGAGGGTAATCCCAATCTGCCGCGTTTCATCGAAAAGGCTCAGCAGAATAATTTCACTGTGGTAGCGGCACCACTCAACTGCACCGAATTGCCGCTAGAATTTGAAAATGAACCTCTCAACGAGAAACACACCCAAAATACAACTGCCGATCTGCTACTTACGGCCGAGCAATGGAATACCCGAGTCATAAGTATTGTATCGGAGACCATTGATTGTGATTCGCCCAATGAGATAGTGAGGAAGAATTCCGAGGAAGTATTGAAACGTGATATCTCGTGGGCGGAACATCTGCAATACGGTGGCTATACCATGATGAAGCTGAAGGGGCCCAACAATTTGAATTTGGCACGTGTTTTGACAAATAAAATAAAGGGTATGGAGAAATTGAAGATTTCGTTTAAATTTGTTTATATTATATATTTTTTATGTGCTTTCAGGTATTCTCTTAATACAAGTTCCTTTGTATAAATCCGCGGCAGCTCAGGCAACATGGCGCAGAGACATCAGCGAAGATGAATCCCTACAATTAGCAGAATGTGGAGATGATTCATGGAATTGGTGGAATCGTTTTCGTTGGGCTGCCGATTTTAATAATAAACTAAGATTAGTATTGGAACTAAACGAGGGAGAACAGCCATCGTTGGATGTAATTTTACGTTGGCTTGGTGAACCATTGGAGGCTGTAATTATACCCTCTTCGATGTTCATTAGAAATCGTCACAATTTCCCGGTATTACCCAAAACATGGCAAGAAGTATTGAAAATGTTCGTTAAGGCTCATGTTAATATGATTGTATCGACTGATTGTTCTGATAATAGTTTGAAACTGTATTCCGACTATTTGAATAATTTCCGTGAAATGCACAAGGATAGTCATATTTTACAAAGGTAAGAGCAGAAGAGGGTTTGATATACATTCTTGATTTTATTAATTTATTTTTTATTTTTCGATAGTTTTGAAGATGTTTTGGAAATCCCCTTGCAACCATTGTATGATAATTTGGATTGTTATACATATGAAATATTTGAAAAGGATCCGGTAAAATATAAGCTGTATCAGAATGCCATTGAAGCTGCTCTGAAGGATCGTGTTCAAGAAGATGAAATCGAAGAGAAATTGGTAAGAGTTGGGTATATTAAAATTATCAAGTTTTAGAGAAGAAGAAGAATATTTGAGATGGAAAAACTCCTATTCCTAATAAATCTTCGATCGGATATATATGTACATACTTGAGACTTTTTGAAGGCCTCCATAATATATTAGGGAGAGTAAAAATAAGAATGACAAAATAGTTTCATAACTATTTTGTCATTCTTATTTTAAATTTAAATTTTTAGTCCATAATAATGATTTTGGGAGCTGGTCGTGGTCCACTGGCCAGAGCTGCACTAAATGCAGCCGAGAGAACTGGACGCAAAGTGCGCGTTTACATTATTGAGAAGAATCCAAATGCCATTAGGACGCTTACAGCAATTGCCAAAAAATTGTGGCATAATAAAGGTAAGGCTTTCAATAAATATTTAAAGTCTTAAGCTCTATTAAATTTGTTTCATTTTTGTAAACAATTTATTTCCCCCCACATTTCAGATGTCCACATCTTCTCTAAAGATATGCGTGAATTTTCACCACCCGAACCGGCTGATATTTTGGTCTCTGAACTGTTGGGTTCATTTGGTGATAATGAATTATCACCCGAGTGTTTAGATTGTGCCCAGAAACTCTTAAAACCCGACGGCATTAGTATCCCGTATAAATCGGTATCATTTATTAATCCCGTTATGTCTTCCAAGCTATATAATGCTGTACGTAATGTTGGTCGCATGGAACCATTTAGTCGTGAAAAAATGTCTTCCTACTATAATCATGCTGAAAATGGTTTTGTAGTATTGCTGAAAAATGTTTACAATATCGATTATCCGAAGGCATTATTTGAATTTGTCCATCCAAATCCGGATAAACGTAAAGATAATACCCGTTATAAGATTTTACAATTTGAAGTGCAATTGGATTGTGTCCTGACCGGTATTGCGGGTTACTTTGAATGTTGGCTATATGGTGATATATTGATGAGCATCAATCCGCCCACTCACACGCCGGGAATGCCGTCATGGTTCCCAATGTATTTTCCGTTTACGGTAAGTGAAATTAAAAGCTTTTATAAACATTTTTTGATATAAAAAATAATATAATTTTTATATAATTATTTTTTAATTTTAATTATGAAAACTGATTTGCCCATACCACCATTTTTATTTTTTTATTCTCCTTCCAGGAGCCCATGAATGTGAAAAAGGGCCAAACTTTGGAAATCCACTTTTGGCGTTGTGTTTCCAAACAAAAAATCTGGTATGAATGGTGTTTGGCCTCACCACATACCACACATGTTCATAACTTGGGTGGTCGTTCCTGTCCCATTTATTGCACGTAAATGCGACACCAAACACAACTTCCATTTAGAATTTATATTTGTTTATAGTTGAAGCTTTATAGTTTGTATAGGAGATTATATATTCGTATGACCGATGATTATTTTTTTACACCGTATGTTTAACTTGACCATTTTCTTTTATTTTTCCTTTACAATTGATTTCAATTATGGAATACCTCATTATAACTATACAGATGACCATAGCTTCCATTTCCAAGATAACTTTGTTTATAGGAAACAAGGCAGTTTTCTCATCCTTATTCCCTATAAATTTAGTATACTTTAAAATAAGTTTTGCACAATTTGTTGACTATAAATGGTGTATAATTATTATTTTTTATTTTGAGCAATTTTTTTGTTATCTTCATTTATTCTAAGGCTCGCTCTTTATATATTTTGTTAATCAAATTCCCATTGCCTTTATGGGAAAATTAGTTGGACCACAACTAAATACCATGGCATGTTTATTTATAATGTCTAGAGTTAGCAATTTATAGTTGACAAGTATAGAAGTTAAGTTAAAATATATTTACTTGAAGGTCTCAAGTAATGACAATAAATAAATATAGTTAATGACACCAAAAAATATAACAAACAAATCGCCAAATGAAGTTGAATTTATTAAAAAGAGATTCCGTTATTGATTTATGTTTTTTTATTTAAAATTCAATTTTCAAGAAATCAGTGGAATAGAGAATAATATGATGTTTTTTAACAGATATCTATAAATTATACTCCCTGGTACTACATATATTTATACAGAGGTAAATTTGTATCTATATACGAATCCGAAATATCTAATGGGATTTACAAAAAATTTTTTGTAATGAGCATGATTACCAATCCAAATTATTGAATTGTATTAAAAAAACGTTACGTTAAAAATCTCGTCCAGAGACATTCAACATTGTATCTATTGGGTTTTTTTCTGGTTAAGGTCCGGAGATAATTTGATATGAATGCGTACGTTTTTATTTACTTCAAATGTTATATACATTTATTTTTTGATCCAGATGATTGTCCGATTTATCCATAAGATGACAAGAAGGGACTTACCATGCTCTTACCCATGTTGTTATCGTAACTAAAAGTGACCGGTGTAAAGGATTTGAGAGGGGTTTGAAAGTTATACCCTGTCAGACAGACCTGTTGATCTAGATGTTCACGCTTTTACCTTTGAACCTCTCTCTGGATCATGAACAACTATTCTGACATACTTTGGTGGAGTAGACGATGAATCTTCCAGTGCGTCAACCCAACAAGATGCTGTCGATGCAACATCTGCATGGATGGATCATGAATAACTCTTCTGACATACTTGGGCGGAGGAGACGAAGAACCTTCCTGTATGTTAACCCAACAATATGCTGTCGATGCAATATCTGCATGGATGTTACCAAAACAGCCATCCGAACAACCATTCAAACCGCTTTATGGATAGGGATCCACCACCCAGGCATGTCAGGAGGAATCATGAAGATCTTTTGTACCACTCGATCTGGAGAGAGAGAGGTCTAGAGGTAAAAAAGAGAGCCTCTGGATCAAATAGGCCTTTTGATCCAAGCAAGATTGTATTGTATTCACACTGATGCAGATGAGGATACATTTCGAGAAAGCAGTGTGAATACAGTTCGAGGAAAACTCACGTAACCGATATCAGGAGCAGAAAAGCAGCTGCTATCGATACAAACCAAAGTGGTTTTAGCACAATTGAGATCTGGATGGTGTAGCCGTATTGTGCACAAATGGTGGTTAAAATCTGTTCGGCATATGGTCCATATGACACCTCTTCAACTGCCCTGCTAAACCTATGGACACAACCTTTAAAGGTCGCATCCTTTAGAAAATATGAGGAGTTTTTCCTCATAATAAATCTCCCATTGGGAGTATGTTGATTTAATATCGCTCATATACCACTGACCGGTCTGTTTGCTTTATATGTGGGATCAGTTCACAAAGAATTCATTGTCAGCTGCCAGAAAAATTGATTGCTCCGATAACTTGTAAATGCTATCAAAATGTACACCCAATATTTTGGTGCCTTAGATCCAATATAAATTCAATGGGCTGCAAAATCTAATTTAAACTTCAAAACTTTACCTGTCTAAACAGGATCTTCTTCTACAGATCCTTTTCAAAATGAAAACGAATAAATTCATCAATTATTTCGACTCTTTATGACATCCATCACGATGAAAAATAAAGAAGTATTACTTACCATCATGAATGCCCACGGCGAGTGCATTGTACGAAAAATATTCGAACGAAAAAGTTACGCTGCAAGCGTTGCAGATTCGATCTTTCGCGAGCATTCATTGCTGAACATTCTCGCAAATGTTCGCATTGTACAAAAAATTCACTAAAGATAAAGTTTCGCTTCAAGCGTCGTCGATCTTTCGTGAGCATTCGTTGCTGAAGAGCATTCATTTGAAAAACTCAAAAACGAATGTTCGTGAATGCTCGCGAGCCCTTTTAAAAACAACAACAAACAAAAATATCATAAAACGAATACATGTGTGTGTAGCAGTGTTGAGCATGTGTGGAATAAAAAACACATGCCCAATAACTATTGAGTTCACGAACGTTTGTTGTTATTCTTGTTGCTCTTTTGATCATTCGCGAATTTTCGTTTTCATTCGTGAGCGATCATCAAACAATACGAACGATCGTTTTTTTCTGTTTTGAATTAGTAATGCTGTAAAATTAAGCAGTTGTTATTTTTTTGTTGTTTTAGAATTTCATATGGATGCTGTTTTGTGTACATTTTTTTTGGGTTGAATTATTGTGGGAATAAATGATCTATATATATTTTTTTTTTTGTATTGAAGAATTATTTGCATTATATATAATTTTGTTATAAGTATTGCTGCTTAATTTAGCACGGAATTGTATTTGCACATATTATTAAATAAATAAGATTTTTTGTTTATATAGCACTATTATTATTTATTTTTTTATTATTGATTATTGTAATTGGTAAATATTCACAAATAAAGCGAATACTGCTGGGTGAGAGTTAAGGTTTATGATTTAGTTTTCATTTTTTGGATTTGTTTGTGTGTTTTTCTTCTAGTTTTTCAATTACACATTTCATTGTTCATTTTGAATACCGTGTTGTTTTTTTCTTAATATCAAAACTAAATCTTTACCAAAAAATTATGCACTGATGAAAACACATTTATTTATATTTTTATATATATATAAAAAAAATGCACATGAAAAGCAAATTAGTTTTAAAGCTTACTTAATATATCTATTTCAATATATTTTTTTGTTTATTTAAATTGTAATTTTGAATTTTCTTTTTTCATTTTTATTTGTTTATTTTTTATTATAAAACTTGTAGTTTTTTGTTTTTCAAATATGATACATATTTCAGTTATCGAATATGTTTTCGTTTATTTATACATATATATTTCTCTTTTTTATGTAAAATGTATTTTTTTTTTTAATTTTGTATATATTCATTTTTCTTTTTTATATTTCATTTAAATTAATGAATAAAATTCATCTACAATTGTATTTTGTTATAAGTAGAAAGTAATTTTTTCCCTCTAAAAATTTTGAAAATATTCGTATTTATGATTAAGTCAGGTTGAATGGATTAGAAAGTGAATTTATTCTCCCATAAAAACATGTTGTTGTTGGATCAGGCCTATTGCTTTTACACAATGGGCTAATGTGACATACGTTGGCCGAGTAAGGCTCGGGTTGTTTCGGATCGCAGACCCCTCTGTCGTGGAAACGATAAGGAGGATACTATCACATGCATGCCGCGCTAGTTACTTATAAAAACATCATTTAATACAACGTCAATGCCTAGAATCAATTGTAAATGACTTTTTTAACAGGCAAGGTGTTGTAGGTGGTAGAGAAGCTGCCATACTGCGATCCACTGAAACTTATTCCCTGCTTGATGATTCGATAAAAACAAGTACTGTAGTGTGGTGATTTTTATTGTAGCGGTTTTCAAAAATATTGAAATATTTTACGAATTTCGTTACTTGCTGCGATAAAGAGATTATATCTAGTTGATGACGACGATTTAAAAGGGAACTCTTGCTCTTCTCAAACTTTTGATGCGTTTCTTTTGAAAAGTTTCCTCGGTTTCAAATGTAAACTCTGCATCCATAATAACATTTTAATTAAGCATAGAAAATCCCTTTCTTATAAACTGACGTTGTACTGCTTTCATCGATAACTTTATATCCTATGGACGTCTCTTCTGCTGTATAACGGAGCATATTTAGTTAGATTTTAATGATTAATATCCCTTCTCACTGCACTTCATGTAATTTAATTTGAGTTGGAAGTAATTTCGATTAAAAATTAATATCTAAACAAAGTCAATCAAGCCTACCGCAGACTACAAATTCTAACTTATTCCTTCGAAAGAAATCGGATATTTACAGGTTTGGTCTGATTGATTATTGTGATAATCCTAAAAGATGGCCTTGGCCGATTTGGTGTTGATAACCACCTTGTCCAAGCAATTTAAAAGCAGCGACAACTTTTATTGGAGTATGAATTGCTGTGGATCTATTTGGAACGATGAGGTCGTTTTAATAGGGTTTAATACATACATATACGCATCTTTATTGAGACGAACGTTTTGTATAAATGTATAAAAATAAATAAATATTGAAGAGTATATTTAATCGATCTCTTAAATTTATTTTTTTTAATTCGTCCATTCTCATTTTCTTCTAACTATAACGACATAATTATTTATTTTTTTAAAAATCATTTAGCTTTCGCATCGCACTTGCTTTCGCAACGCAATACAGAGTAACCCCCCTGAATTCACTGAACCAATTTTATTTTATTTATTTTTTTTCATTCAGACCCGTCACTTAATATGGGTTAATAAAAGTGTCATTTCTGAAGTGTTGCTGGACTGTGGTTTAGGAAATGTAACACGCATGCTGCTTCCGACACATCCAATCCAGTTTAAATGTCAGAGTGATATTTCTTTTTGTATCCCCAGAAGGAAAAATTTCCTAAAATCGCATATTGTAATAATTGAAGTCCGAATTTTTCAGGGTGCGCAAAATAATCGCTCGCGAATGATTGAATATACGATTTTTTTGTTTGGGCTCATTTTGCGAATGAATTTATCGTCATAAATTCTTTACCAAACGAGTGAGAGCATAAAACAACGATCGTTCGTGATTGAAATTCTTTCTGACATTCGCTCACGAATATTCGCGAATATTCAAAACTGCAACAAGAATAACAACAAAGTTCGTGAACTCTATAATTGATGGAGATGTGTTTTGCTATTCCATATATCGCTCATTTGCTGTAAGAGAAGCATAACTCAAAAAAACACGATTTTCGAGTTAATGGTGCACGATTGTTCGCTCTCTTACACACTCTAATTGACAAGCTGAATAAATATAATGTGTGAGTAAATTGAAAATATAAAACGCATTTTCTTCAAAATCGCTTTTTTGGGTTATGCCTGTCTTGCAGCTAATGAGCGATATGTCCCATACTTCCTGTTACACACACATTCATTCGCCAACATTTGTTGAGTTTTTCAAATGAATGCTCTTCACAACGAATGCTCGCGAAAGACGACGCATGCAGCGAAGTTTTATCGTTCCTAAATTTTTCGTACAATGCGACAGTTTGACGGATTTTCTACCAAAATGGACGATAATATTCGCTTCTTACAGGGCCATGTGCCATTCATACATTGTTACTTTAACATTTGCGCTAAATTGAAAACAATCGAATTCTTGCCGTGAGCATTCGTGAAAAAGAACGTATTTATTAATCGTTCACCGCACCCTGGAATTTTTCCTTTTGGGGTATTCATACACTCACAACGATTTTTCCTCCCCATTAGGACGGACATCAATTTTGTCTCACAGTGTAAGCATTCGCATAGATTACGATCTTAATATGAAAATGATGGAAGTTGAAAAGTTTCTTAGAAATCACCTGACCTTGAGAGGCTCCATGTGTTACTATGTCTTCCAGTTTGTTTTTGAATTCCACGAACATTGGCCGAAGGTGTATGCCCTCGAGCAGCTTGTCATGGTTGATGTTATCGAAGGCCTTCTAAAGGTCAAGAGCCACCATAACTATTCCGTTGGATGGTCGTTTCTTGTTTAGCATAACAAATGGAGTGAAAATGGCGTACAATCTACTGTACAACTTACGGAATCCATGTTGATTGATCTACCGAGCTACTGCTTTTCATCGATGGGAGGGGAGTAGCGCCTTAATTGTCATTGTTTTATTCATCTTTAGCTTATATTAAGAAATCTGACCTAAAATAGCTTACTGTAATCCCAAGAATATTTTTTTGTTTTATTACAAAAAAGCTTTCAAAACAGAAAGAAACGATAGAATAGAATATGTTTCATCTCTTTTGATGTGCAAGAAAGTAAATATTAAAAAAGATAACATAAAAGGAAGCACATAAGAAAAAAATAAATCCATACATATATCAAAGAAACATAAACATCGAACATAAAAGCTGATACACAAACCAACAAACGAAATTGGGAAAAATCGGTTCAGATTAAGATATAGCTCCCATATATATTTTCGTCCGATTTTATGTAAATAGTGCACCAAAGTCTCTATATATCCTTCGATTTGCACGAAATAGCGTACTGAATTGATACTAGAATGATGAATGCAAAGTTTCGTGACAATCGGTTCAGATTGAGATATAGCTCCTATATATATTTTCGTCCGATTTAAGGTAATTGGTGCACCAAAGACCCTATATATCTTTCGATTAGCACGAAATTTGGCATAGCGTACTGAATTGCGTCTATAATAATGTGTGCAAAGTTTCGTTCCCTGGAAATCGGTCCAGATTTAGATATAGCTCCCATATATATTTTCGTCCGATTTAAGGTAAATGGTGCGCCAAAGTCCCTAAATATCTTTCGATCTGCATGAAATTTGGCACAGCGTAATTAATTAGGGGTAGAATGATGTGTGTTAAGTTTCCTGAAAATCGGTTTAGATTTAGATATAGCTCCCATATATATTTTCGTCCGATTTTATGTAAATGGTGCACCAAAGTCTCTATATATCCTTCGATTTGCACGAAATAGCGTACTGAATTGATACTAGAATGATATATGCAAAGTTTCGTGACAATCGGTTCAGATTGAGATATAGCTCCCATATATATTTTCGTCCGATTTAATGTAAATGGTGTACCAATGTCCCTATATATCTTTCGATTTGCACGAAATTTGGCATAGCGTACTGAATTGCGTCTATAATAATGTGTGCAAAGTTTCGTGAAAATCGGTTCAGATTAAGATATAGCTCCCATATATATTTTCGTCCGATTTAAGGTAAATGGTGCACCAAAGACCCTATATATCTTTCGGTTTTCACGAAATTTGGCATAGCGTACTGAATCAAACCTAGAACGATGTGTGTAAAAGTTCTTGAAAATCGGTTCAGATTAAGATATAGCTCCCATATATATTTTCATCGGTTTTATGTAATTGGTGCACCAAAGTCCCACATATCTTTCGATTTGCACGAATTTTGGTATACGGTACTGAATTAAGTCTAGAATGATGTTGCTAAGCTTCGTGAATATTTGAATTGCAAACATTTTTCATTTGTTTATTTTTCATGTTTTTTTTATTCTTCTTCTTTTGTATTTTCATAATCAAATTTCTTTGAAACCACAACCTTTTTTGTTTGTTTTTGATTTTAAAAAAGATAAAAATAATAATTAAATACTTAAAGGAATATGATAAAAAAAAATTATTAAAGAAAAATATAATAATAATTATAATTATCACAATATAATAAAAATATTTATAATAGTTGTTGTAAAAATTACAGTTTAAATCATTTTACGAACAGCACTTTCTTGAGGCATTTGTGTGGGATTAGCGGCGGCACCGCCACCACGAATGGCAATTGCACCCTGACCAGCACGAATGGGTTTAGCAATTTGCGCCTGGGGACCACGTTGTCCTAAATGTTTCTGTCGCACAGCCTCCTTGATGCGATCCACCTCGTATTGATAGCGTTTACGGTCACGCTTAGCACCCTCTTTGGCTTCTATCAGCGCTGTCTCCAAGGCCTTGACACGCTCCATGGTGGTGCGCAAACGTGTCTCCAATTTGAGCAATTCACAGCGTAGATCGCCATTTTCACGCACCAATTGTTTGTGCACTTCGGTGAGTTGGTCCAGATTTTTTTCGAGGAAGGAGATTGTCTGTTTTTGGGCCAATGAGCCACCGTCTTCTTCGCTGTCCTCGTTTAGAACGGTTTTCTTGATGTAGGGAAAGGTAAGCGTAGAGAAAGGTAAACGAAAACACAAAGAACATAAAATTAGTAGCGATTTTTTTTTAATTTAGAAATCTTGTGCATAGTTTTAGTTTTTTTTTAAATAAAGGACTTTCAAGACGTTTCCAAAATATCTTCTTAAGGCAGAATATCGTCAGGATTTCTATAGAAATAAAAGCTCTTCTAGAAACTAAAGAAATCGGGAGTATTTCTGTAGAAATACGACCATAGCTATTCTAGAGAAAGAAAATATATCTTCTAAAAACAGAAAGCCTTAAATAAATATAGCAGAATAACTATAAGAGGTAATTTTGAGAGAACAGAAATTTATGGGTTCTTATAAAGACAGAAGACCCCCAGGAGGAAGACATTCAAAAACTTTACTAGAGACAGAACACTTTCAAGTGGTTTTTGTTGAAAATAATACCTTTAGGTGGTCTTCTAGAAAGGGAACAATTTTCAGAGACAAAAGGTCTAAAAAGGCCTCAAAAGACAAGTATTATAGAGACAGAAGTCCTTCAAGGGGTCTTCTAAAGACGAAAAACCTACAAAAGGGGTTTAGTGAAAAAAAGAAATTCAAGAGAGATTCAACAGAAAGAATAACAGAGACAAAAAATCTTCAAGAACCGTTCTAGAGGCACAGACGACTTTGAAGAAGTCTCCTATAGAAAAAAATATAGTTTAGAGTTCTTCATTACAAATAATATCTTCAGGAGGCCTTTTAGAGAGAAAAGACCGTCAAGAGCTCCTCTAGAAAAGAAAACCTTCAAAAGACCCCGATTCGACAGAGGTCTTCTAAAGACATAAAAGGTCTTCTAGAGACAAGGGAACTTGAAGAGAGTTTCAATAGGAATAAGACCTTGAAGAGGTCTTCCAGAGACAAAAAAATCTTCTAGAACCATACTAGACGCAGAGGACCTTGAAGATGTCTACTATAGACAATACATTCCAGACATCTTCTAGAAACCTTCAACAGGTCTTTTAGAAAGAGAATACGTTCAAGAGGTCTTCTAGAGACAGTAGACCATCAAGAGATACGAGGTCTTTAAGAATAGCTATATATTTTCAAGATATCTACTAGAACTTCATGAGATCTTCTTGACACGAAAATCCTGCAAAAGGGATTATATAGATAAAGGATCTTTAGATGTTATCTGTAGACATCATACCTTCAAAAATTATTCTTCATTTGATAGGAGAGCCACAAAAGGGCTTCTTGAGACAGAAGACCTTCAAGTGCTCTTCTTGAGACAGAACTCTTCTTGTGAGAGAAGACTTTTAAGAAGTCTTCTATAGACCATCAACACTTCTCTTGAGAACTCCTTCAAAGGGTCTTCTATGGAGATAAGACCTTTAAAAGAACCTCCCCTTCAAATGATCTTCACTTCAAAGTAACATCCCTTTAAAAATATATTCATTAAACTAAGGCCTTCTTCTATAAAAAGAAGACATATAGAAAGAAGACATTCAGGAGGTCTTTTATAGAGAGATTACCTTCAAAAAGTATCCTACGGGCAATCAAAAGCTATTTTTTCCGAATCTATAGAGCGAAGAAGGCCTTCTTCTGTAAACAGAAGAACTTCAGGATATCTTTTATGGAGAGATTACATTCAAAAAAGCTTTTTTTGTCGATTTCTATAGAGCGAAGAGCTTCTACAGGTCTTCTGCAAATAAAAAATCTTCCGCTCGAACGTCTACTCACCTGTAAATTTTGAACAAACAATTTCCGCAAATTATGCAATGTCTGCAATTCCTTAGCCACTTTATCTTCCAAACCCTTGAGATCATTACGAGCCTGTTCACGCCTCTCGTTGGTGAGTATGATTTCTTGTAATTTATTTGATTTCTCAGCCTCTTCTTGTTTCAATTTCTCGTAATCGGCAGCCATTTGTTGATGGGCGAGGATTAGCTTCTGATGCAAATCCTTCATTTCTGCCATTTCGTGTTGCTTGGCAATGATTTCATCGCGCAATTCGGACACCTCTTTGGTATGCGCTTCACGCAACTCATCTATGCGCTTCACACAACTCATCCAACTCATCTGCAATTCCTCACCAACTGTATCTTCCAAACCCTTGAGATCTTTACGAGCCTGTTCACGTCTCTCGTTGGTGGGTATGATTTCTTGTATTTTATTTGATTTCTCAGCCTCTTCCTGCTTCCATTTCTCGTAATCGGCAGCCATTTGTTGATGGGCGAGGATTAGCTTCTGATGCAAATCCTTCATTTCTTCCATTTCATGTTGCTTGGCAATGATTTCATCGCGCAATTCGGACACCTGTTTGGTATGCGCTTCACGCAACTCATCCATTTGTGAATCGAACATGGCGCGTAATTCTTCGGCCTTTTGCTTTTCTTCGGCATTGACAGCGGACACATGTTTAGCGGCCTTAAGTTTAGCGCATTCTTCACGCAACGAATCGATTTGTTCCTCCAGTGAACGTTTCTTATTTTCAGCTTCACGCATTGATTGCTGGAGCAAGGATTTCATGTTAGCCTCATGCTGGGAAATAATCAGACGATATTCACCCAAATCTCTTTCGTATTCGGAGAGTTTCTTATTGGAATCGATTTTTTGTGTTTCCAAGTTGGTACAGCGTTGAACTATATTCTTGGCTTCTGTTTTCATTTTGCTTATGTACAGGCGGGCCATGGTCAAATCTTCTTCCACGTTGCCGATGTCGCCGGCACTGGCACTGGGTATGCTGTTCATTTTCATGTCGATTGGGGAATCGGCTAAGGATAGGGCTTGGCCAACTTCGGCCAAATCGCGTAACAGATTGGACAACTTTTCATTGATGCGTTTCTTTTGATGTGAGGACATGTCAAGGAATTTTTGCAATTCTGTGGTAGTGGTGTTGAGCAAGGCCTGCTTCTGTTGCAACTCTTCATTAAAGCTGTCCATGTCCTTGTTCTTGGTGTTGATTTCTTGAGATTTTTGGTCGTAGTTAAAAGCCAATTTTACCAAGGCTTGTAGGACTTCGTTCACATTTTTCTTGGCCGATTCGTTCTCCTGTTGAGTGCGAGCCATTTCGGACTGCAAGGCTTCGTATTCTCGACGGGCACTGGCAATGAGTTTCTCTTGCTCCACGATTTGTTCCTTAAGATTTTTAACATATTGACTTTGTTCGTCCTTCTCGTCCAATTTTTGATACAGGCGCTCGCGTTCAGCCTCCAAACGAGCACGTTCATCACTGCTGATGGAGCCCAACATGAGACCGGCAGCTGGTGTGGCGGGCATGGGTCCGGCAGCCACGGCCTCCAATTCCAGATTGCGTGTGCTAGCCTCCATAAGTTTTTGATTTTCCAAGTTCTCTTGTTTGACGTTAATCAATAATACTGAATGGGAACGGGATGAATGTTCGTTCATGTCTGTGGGAATAAAGAAGAGAATAACGACATGTTAGAGGTATTTTGAAAATAGTTTTTTGAGGATTTTCAAACTTACTGGTTACGGCAATGTGACGATTCGATTTGCCCTCCTCAATGACTTCGAACACATCTTCTTCTTCATGCACGCTCAAATTGATCTTCGACAAAAAAAAAAAAAAATAAACTTTTAGAGTCAAAAGACTAAAGGCATTCCAAATATCCTTTACAGACATAAGACCTTCAGAAGTTCGTCTTTATAGACCGAAGGTTTTATATATACAAAACTATCAGAAGTTCGCATTATCGTAGACGTGAAGATTTTCTATTTATAGACAGAAGACCTTCAAAAGGCCTTCATTTTGACATAACCTCCTCTACAGACATAAAGCCTTGCGATGTTCGTTCTATAGTAGACATTTTATGGTCTTCTGTCTATGGACATAAGACCTGCAGAAGTTCTTTTATATAGACAAACAGTTGTATATAGATAGAACCTTCAGAAGGGTCATAATTTGTACAGAAGAGCTTCAAAGGGTCTATAGGAAATCTTCTAAAAACCGTCTGTCTATATATGGAACTTTTAGAAGATCGTAGGTTTCTATACAATTCTCTTTAAAGATATTCTGTCTTTCGGAAGGTTTTCTATATCTAAAAAGACAATTTGCAAGAGATATTTTGTATTTTTAAGGTCTCTTGGTTTTCAAAGAAATTAGGAATACAATCGCATTTCTTTGTCGGCTGTCCTCTGATATTCAAACTATTTTCCGTGCAATGAAAAAAAACAATCTCGTGCAGTCCATCTTTCCTTTTACATACTCATACATTCTCCTGTATAATTAATACAGGTCACATATACGTATGCTAAATAGAATTAAAGATGTATGTAATTTCATTTAGCAAGGTCATTAGGAAAAGGTGTACCTATAGCTAGCCGGCAGCATTTCTTTTCTTACATTTCCATTTTATTCCGTACTTACTTTACAATTCCTAACACTATCGGAACGGAATGGAGTAAGGATTAAAATAGTGAGTACTTGGTTATGTTTGGAATAGATATTTAAGTTTATTCCATCATCGACAAGAAAAAATGTCTACGGTGAGTAACAATGTCCATCGTCAATCATATCAAACTGTTTGAGACCAAACCCCGGTCTTTTGAAACGTTGGCTAAACCCCATTGGTGATATATGATAAAGAGAATAAAGAATTATAATTAAATTTCTATGTGAGAATTATGAAAATATCCGCCACTAGGTCCACAGCCACACTGTTTGTCACGTGAATCGGCTGAAATGAGACGGAGGACGTATTCCGACAACCTATTATATTGTAACATTTGATAAGATGAAAAGTTGGAATAAGGTTCTTAAGTCGCTAATCGAAAGCACATAGGACGGAGACAAAAGTGACCTTGTATCTCATAAAGTAATAGGCCTGCCAGTGGTAAGCTAATGGTCGCTAGATTGATTACCAAATGTAAATAACGAAAGCAAACTGAAGATGGATCCCGAAGGAGCATTTTGAAAAGCTTCAGGTATCCAATAGTGGCGGCGAAGAAGATACCCCAGAACCAATAAGAAATGATATAGAGTGTATACATACCACCTAGCCAAGATGAGGTCAGAGTAGCAATTAATCGGCTGATGAATAACAAATACACAAGTGTTTTTATAACAACTAGGAATGTATCCGGCTAGGTCTGAGTCATTTTTGTTTCATTCGGCCGGTTCGGCCGGTCCGAACTTTCGATACCCTCCACCATAGATATATTGACAGGTACTAGAAATGAAAATATAGGGAATATACCAAAAAGTGGACCTATATCGACATTTCTAAAAACGGATTATTTAAACCATAGGTGAAATGAATACAAAAGAGTCTTAGAACCAAACTGAAAACGCGGAACAAATCAGATAACTATTTTAATATAAACAAGTGAAAAAGCGGTAAGTTCGGCCGGGCCGAACTTTGGATACTCTCCACCATAGTTATATTGACAGGTACTATAAATGAAAATATAGGAAACATACCAAAAAGTGGACCTATACCGACATTTCTAAAAACGGATTATGTAAACCATAATAAAAATTTTCGAAATTTTTAAAGGATAATTATACCCTCAGCCTTATGGCTAATGAGGTTGTATACACTTTAACACGATGAAAATGTGCCTAATCGAAATATTGGTTCTAGACCCCATGTCTCTTTGGACCAAATCCGTTTCAGAAAATTTAGATTTTATCCGAACTTTGCCCATCTTATTATTTCTTCCAAGCTTAGTTCAAATTCGAAGATGGGGAATATCGGTCCAATCCTTCTGGAACCTCCAATCAGGGGCTAGGTCTAAATGCGGCTATAGTTCACTACCGAACCTTACGTTCTAATTTTTTATCTCTCTATCCTCCGCAGTTGTAATGATTACAAAATGGTCTTAGAACCAAACCCAAAACGCGCAACAAATCAGATAACTATTTTAATATAAAAAAGGGGGTTATATGGGGACTACCCCAAAAAGGGGGTGAATATTAATAATTTTTGGTAGGGAGATTTGTTACCATATACGACTACAAAATACCAAATTGCAGCAAATTCGGTTGAAAAACGCGCTCAAGAACCCCAAAATACCGAAAATTTGGGGGTACCCTTATATGGGGGCTATCCGAAAATATGGACCTATATTCATAATATTTTGTGGAGAGATTTGGAAACTATTAAGAACTCAATGTACCAAATTTCAGCGTATTCGGTAGAAAAACGAGCTCAAGAACCCCAAAATACTGACAATTGGGGGGTACCCGTATATGGGGGATATACGAAAAAATGGACCTATATTTATAATTTTTTGTGGAGAGATTTTGTACCTATTAAGAACCCAATGTATTAAATTTCAGCGTATTCGGTTGAAAAACGCGCTCAAGAACCCCAAAATACCGAAAATTAGGGGTACCCTTAAATTACAGCCAATTCGTTGGAAAAATACGATCAAAACCCCCAAAATACTGAAAATTAGGAGGTACCGTTATATGGGGGCTACCAGAAAAAGTGGACCTATATTTATAAATTTCTGTGGAGACATTTAGTACCCAATAAGAACTCAATGTACCAATTTTCAGCGTATTCGGTTGAAAAACGAGCTCAAGAACCCCAAAATACCGAAAATTGGGAGGTACTGTTATATGGGAGCTATACCTAAACGTGGACCGATATATCCCATCTTCGAACTTGACCTGCCTGCAGACAAAAGACAACCCTATGCAAAATTTCAGCACCCTATCTCAATACCTTCAGAAGATAGCGTGATTACAACAGACGGACCGACAGACGGACATGGCTAGATCGTCTTAGAATTTTACCCTGATCAAGAATATATATACTTTATAGGGTCGGAAATGAATATTTCGATGTGTTACAAACGGAATGACAAAATTAATATACCCTCCATACTATGGTGGAGGGTATAAAAAATTGGCAATATTGCCCAAATGTGCTTGTTTTGACGTAAATGCCATAAAAAAGGCTATTTCTGATGGTGTGTGTGTGACCATGAGATGTCAACGTCCGCCGCTAGAAAATATAGCCTTAAAAGTTAGAGGATCTAAATTTCAATCACCGCTATCAGGGTGATAATTATATGACTATATGGTGACATGACTATGCTGCCGAATGTGCCACACCAAAAGCCGAAGCTACCCCAGGTAGGAGCACATTCGGCGAATTTGACTTTTTTACAAAACTGTAAGCATGTTTAACTAATACTTATTTATTATATGTTTTTTGGTACTATTTGTATACCCTACACAACTATGTTCTCAAGGTATTATAGCTTTGTGCAGCCCCAAAAGTTTGTAACGCCGCGAAATATTGGTCCTAGACCCCCTTTAAGTATACCGATCGTCATATCTCGACTAGCGTCTGTCCATTATCTATGTATATAAAAGAGTTGCGTTATAAGTGACTGACTGATCATCAACGCCCAGACAAAACGGCTAAAGCTAGAAACTTGAAATTTGGCATGTAGGTGGGGTTTGGTGAGTAGGCGTGTGATATGGCGGGGTTTTTTGGAAATTCGTACTAAAAGCTACTAAAAAGTTCGAAAAACTGTATTACGGGGGAACGGTTAGGTTTAGAACTTTGAAATTTGGTATGCAGCTTTGCTTGCGTAAGCGAAACGGCATGTGTGAAAAAATTTTGAACTTTAGTACTAGAAGGCACCAAAAAGTACTAAATATTATATTTTAATGGAACCGGTGGAGATGGATATCTGAAACATGGTATGTAGCTTAAAGTTTAAAAACAAAAACGACGTGCAAAAATATTTGTTGGAAGTTAGTACTAAAATGGTACTAAAAAGTACTAAAACTAAATTACGCCGGAACGTTTGAAAGTAGAACTCTGAAATTTGGTATGCAGCTTTGCCAATAATAATTCCAAGTTGTATGTGTGAAAAAAATTTTAGAATTTAGTACTAAGAGGTACTAAGTATTATATTTGAATGAAAATTGATATGTAACTTAAGCTATTACAAATAGAAAGTTGTGCAAAAATAACTTTTGGAAATTAGTACTAAAATGATACTGAAAAGTACTAAAACTATATTACACCGGAACGTTTGGAAGTAGAACTCTGAAATTTTGTCAAACTCTGAAATTTGTCAATGATAGGCGAAGGGGAATGTGTGAACAAATTTTGGAAATTAGTACTTGAGGTACTAATAAGAACTTAATATTATATTACAATGGAACAGGTTCGGGTTGATATCTGAAACATGGTATTTAAGCTATTCCAAATATAACGATGGGCAAAAATATTGGAAATTAGTACTAAAAATTACAATAGAACCGATAGAGATAGAAATCAGGATCTTTGTATATAGCTTTTACTATTACAAATTAGTACTAAAGTGGCAATAAAAAGTACTAAATAAAAATTACAATGGAACCGTTAGAAATGGAAATCTGAAACGTGGTACGTGTATAGCTCTAGTATGAACTAGGATGAAGCCAATCGGTAAAGATCTTCGTTATTTTTTTTAACTTAGTTTGTGGTCAAAAATTGGCGATTTTCCAAAAAAGTTCCGCCATTTTGTTAATTGTTGTGCGAAGTTAATAATCCTAGTTCATACGAGAGCCAGACATTTACTCTTTCTAACACCGTTGGA